CCTGATATTCCTAATACCCTTTACACCCCCCCGCCCCGCCATCCCCTCAGACAAGGAGAAAAGCGGGGTTTCCCTGCTCCTTTCTCCAGCCCGGAGGATGCGCTATCGTCCTTGGGTCTTTCCCACCGTCAGAGGATGCTGAGCTTCTACCCACAGGGAGGAGGTGTGCGGTAATCCATCCCTCCGGAACAGCTTTCACAAGAAATCATCCCTGCGTTTCCACATCCATCTCCGATCAAAGTCTTTTCAGGTGCTGCAGCAGCCTTTTTTTCCCTGCAAGGTTTCTGTCCCTTCCACTCAAATCATTGCCGCCCCCCCCGCCCCGCACACAGCAAACCCAGAACCAGAGAATGACTGGAAAGTGATCCTCATACTTATGAATGACACGCAGCGTTCCTCAAGAGTTTTACTAGGGAAATCACTGCTCTTAGCATCCATCTCCACAGGCGAACCTCTTATTTACTGTGATGATGCTCTGGGGAACCAGAGCAAGCCTACAGAGATCAAGTTTTACATAATTTTCTTAAACAGCCCCCTGTCCCGATTAGTCCTCGATGAACTGGAAAGCACAAATGACAAGTGATGATCAGCTCTCCACAGAGCAAGCCTGAACACTCCCCCCAACTCCCTACAGAGCCAGGCAAAGACATTGTAAGACCCGGACTTCTTTTGCTTTTCCTTTCATTAACTCTTACAGGCCCATCTCCAAATTATGTGTATTTTTCAGTTGTTCTTTTTTTGTTTCTCAGCACTAAGCAGGTGGCCCTTTAATTGCCAGCGTTCATGGAGGACAATGGATCTATGCATCAAAATGGCAGCTATCTCTGTTACTGCTCTGTGTACTGACACTGTATTGTGTATTAACAATGCCAGGCTGCTGTAACCACATATCCTCTAAACATATAAAACAGGACACAAGGACACAACACTCCAGTAAAACTCACATGCAGCTTCATCCGTGCGTAAAGCAAGCCAGGAACTTCAGCTCCATTTGAAGCTTGTTTCAGAAGACAGCCCTTAACTCCGGGAGGCATAGCCAGACACCTCGTTCACCTTGCATTCAGATGACAGTTTCTGCAAACCAACATAACCCAGTTACCTGGCCACCATGGAAAGCAAATCAACACCACAACACCTTCTCTGGTTCCTTAACCTCCCCCTCCCGCATGCCACTTCCATATGAGCCCCATCTCCCCAGGCAGATGCTTCTTCAGAAATCACTAGCCTTGACTGTGGGAAGTCGAGAGCCCGATTCAAAAGACTATGAAGAATTTCACTGGCTCCAAGGCCCCCATGTCCTCCCCCGTCTGTGGGAGGATTCAGCCTGGCCTCAACCTCCTCAGCTGCTCACGAGAAGGAATTTTAGGTGAAACATTTGCCATATAAGCGTTCTCTGCTTCCCCAGGCACATAAATAGCGCTCTCTGGTTATCCTTGTGTAACTGCTCTACTCCAACATTTGCTTGGCTATACTTATCTTGGACATGACAGTGGCAGGGGCAAGTGATAAAAAGATGCTGAATAAAAATAGCCAGCTATTTTAGGTATGAGGTATTCGTACTAAGCACCAGTATCGCACAAGTCCTGTTGATAGCCGGTACAACCACAACTACAGAAGCCTTCTTGCTGCAGAAGAGACAGCTGAGATGAAGCAGTCCTGCACCCCTGCCTCATGTAGCTTCTAATCCATCCCTTGCACCGCAGCAGCAACCACTGGGGCTTCGCGGCTCTTTTTTCTGTGCTGGTTGGCTTATTTATATCTGACTTGTAGGATTTCTCTGAAACGCTCCCTCACCTCAGCATTGTGTGGGCTGATCCCAAAGAACCAAGACATCCTGTATTTGCTGTTGGTAAGAGAAGATGTTACAGCACTGCCGGGCGTGTTTTGCCATCAGTTATATCAGGGTCTATTGGGAACACGCTAATGCCTTCAGATTTGATCAGAATCGAGGTTGCAAAGATTTGCAAGTTCTGCAGGAGGCCACCCAAGACATCTGTGGCAGGAGCAGGGGCAGAACTGGATAGAGTGTATCTAATTCCATCTTCAGCACTAAAGGGTAGGAGTTCAAAACTTGATCCCACAGATCCCTGCCAGTGCTGGAAAACCAGAGAGAATCCAAGCACCTTGCCTGCGGTTAATTAAATCAGCCTGTATTTTCAAAACAATGTCACTTGACATGGACTTTTACAGCCACGTATCAACTGGCATGAGCTTCCCCTCAGACTAGGAAAGAGATGTGGCTGCATTAAGTCAGGATTACAGCAGGCGGTGGCATATTTCACTCAATCGGTTGTGAGTGGCACACCCCAACCTCCCTTCTCAGATGTGTCAGAACTTTGATTGCAGTGATACACACACCTCATAATGTTGTGACAATCTATTGCTCTATGAATAAACAGTATTTACCCTGCTGCATTCTCTCAAATACAAGCGCTCTGAAAAAATAGGCGTTTGGCTCATGCTAGAAGCTAGAACTTCAAAGGATGACAAGCAAGTTTCTGTGTCTGAGCTCCTTCTAAATTGAGAGGAGACTGCTCGGGGAATATGAGGATTGCTCTCCTCTAATTAGATGTGCTAGTGGGATTAGCTTCATTCTTGGATGCCAATTAAGCTTTCATGGGCTGAAAATCCTGCAGCCCATTTCATGAGCAAACTCATCTCTCATTCAGAATGTGCTATGGGGATGGATCTTAAGAGAAAAACACCAATCAAACCTGAAAAGCCAGCACCTCAAGGGACACCATCTATCCAGCTTCACTAACAGCAGTAAAAATCTTTTCAGAGGTCTCTGCATATGTAATGCCGGTTGCAACCTAACGGATAGTGGGGTTGCACAGATGCATAGGCTTTGCTGTCGTTATACATTACCGTATATATATTCACTCAGAGCTCACTAATACCAGCTGTTACAGGGGCTTAGAGCTGGTGCAACATGTAGTTGAACCATGTCCCAGGAATTCAGTTATCATCTTAGTAGCTCTACAGTGAGGCAGGATCAGGTGCCCGGCTCATCTCTTCGTTTGTGTACGGTAACAGACTTCAGAGGAGTTAAAATCCATCGCACACATCCACTGGAGAGGGAACAGGCCAGTGCTCAGCTGGATCTTGTTTGTGCTGCATCCAGACAGAGGGCCTGGCAAAGCAGCAGGGGCAACCCTTCAGTGGTTCCTATGCCTGTATACACCCCAAAATCTTTGCCTGCCTTCAGCCAAAGCCTCTGTGAAAGCCAGCAGCCAGGACCACACTCAGACCTCCTCCTTCTTATTGAGCAAAGACTATTTATCCTGTACCAAGCACCTGCAGTTATGCTGATGAATGGAGCTTGCTTGACGAGCTACGGGAGGATCTGACAAACGACAGGGACAGAGATATCAGGAACAGTGTCTGCCTGAGCTGAATTCATGGGAGAAGAAATGATACTGCTAGTAGATAAGGCAAAACGCTCCTAAGCACGCCCTGCAGCAGCCTGCGCTTGGGTGGATAGGGCTGGTGCAGTTTGTTACTTCTAATGGGCGGTCAGCCTGCACATTTCAGTTTAGCCTCTCTCTCATCCAAAACCCAAAAGTGATAAAAAATGCACCCTCACAGCAGAACTTGAGTCCAATAGGATGCAAATCACCTGAATGCACTGAGATATAAAACCACCTAATTCTGTATTTACACTATAACCAGTTTCCAAGTTCAATCTAAAATAAACATCTTTTGCCTCCCCTGAAATATTTTTGGGTAATTTTCTCCCCAAAAGTTAAACACGCCCGTTACTGCCCGTGGCTTTAGCGCATGGTATCAATGAACTGCCCAGCAAACTGAGCTCCTGCTGAGAGACAGAGGAGCTGCGAAGAGACCCTGTGTGGTACAGATGTGTAATTTCTGCAGCATGAGCAACTATCTTTTTTCCTTTCTATATTTATATAGCACCTCACGTGGTGGGGTTTTGTTCATGCCACGTGCTCTTATGCAGTACAGAAACAACTGCTAGAAACCAACTGGTACTCTTTAGTCTCAAAGACTTTATTCAAAGAAAATCTAAAGAATCTACAGGATACTTCTGCTTCAGAACCAAAAGAACTTTAAAAATTCAGGTCAATTCTTCTTGAATTGTCTTTCTCTGTATTCTTTTAAAAAAGATTTTGCTCACTTGTAACCCTCTTCCCTTCCACACAGGATCCTTCTAGCTCCAGCGGTTTAAAATATGGCTAAAAGACATGTAATAATCATGAAGGGATATGAAAAATATATGCAGAGACTCTGCTGTGGTCTTCTGGAAAAAGCCCTATGCTAGCTGATAAAAATCTTCAGGGCCTCTGGATGCACTCACGGGCTACAGAAGCTGTAAAGGTATCACCAGAATGAAAAAGAAAACCAAACCAAAACCAAACCCAAAGCACAGGTAAGCAAGAGAAGGAAGACCGAGTCTAAACACAACCATTTCCCTGACATCCCAGGTTTTCCACATGAACATCTTCTCATATGCTGCTCACACACACCTACCTCCCTGCCCCAGTCATTCTTCCCTCAGTGTTTATCAGCTCAGATGGGAGAAAACTAGGTTATGATGCAATACAAAAATCAATACATAAATAAAAAGCAGACTTTGGGGCCTACAGAATGAAGCATGGTTTTTCCACACTGTGCTGTCAGCATGATTACCACTAAAAAGTAGTGCCACTTCCTAGGTCCTTCCCTGACATCAACTCGCTGACCTTGCTTGCTCCAGGTAGTAAATGCAACGTAGCTCTCGCAGTTACACTGGTATGGCATCCATGGGAAAGATGACATTGATGTGAAACAACATCCACATTTCGGGCCCTCCTGCAAGAGAAAGTAGGAATTTGCCTAATACTGTTGCACCGCTGGGATTTTTAGTCACAAGTCTCTTCGTATCTGTGCTGCAACTTCTAGCCTTGGTATAAATTCCTGATGTGCTGTCAGAAAATGTTGTGCTGGAGTCCCAGTCAAAACCTGCCACTCCAGATGAACTGATCATCAAGCTAAAATGAGGCTTTGGATTCACGGGAGCCCTTACATGATTACTCATGGCTTTATGAATTTGGCTATGACTAAATCCTCTCCTAGCCTCAGCGGTAATGAAATTGCCTTGCTGACAAACAGGAGCAGCCTCCGCAGCCCCAGATGCCTCCTCCTCTGCAAGGGGGGGAGGTAACAGCACCCCAACACCCTCCTTACCAGAAATGAATCCTGGACAAAGAGCAATAGCACCTTTGAAAGCTGTCAGCATGTCTCCCTCGGCTCAGCTTTCGGACGCTCAGCATCACTGCATGACCGGAGCTCCCAGGCAGCTGATACCCAGAGAGCAGCCTGAGAGCTGTGGGGCATCTCACCCTCTAGCCTGGGCACAGTGGAGCTGCACACCTAGATCCGCCACCTTCCCAAAAAAGCCCCACAAAACAACCCCTGCCCAACCTCCAACATTTTTTTTTAAAGTTTGTGATTAACCACACTGGTAACCTCACCGGTGAAGAAGTTTGGGGCTTGTGCAGTAGACTGTAAAACAGGATGGAAATTTCTTTCAGTAAGCAAAATGCTGACTTAAGCCCTTGTATTTTGAGTGCTGCTTGTCATTAAGCAAAAATGACTTTTACAGTTGCCTTTGCACTGCAAATAATTTCATTTAGGCAATGAAACACCCCCAGTGAAACAGAAACATTCAGTGTTTCTGCCTGCACTTCGTCAACTGTGTACGTTCCATTTAGTATTTACAGACTGGGGCACTAGTCTGGCTTACTTAGTAATTAATTTCTTTAAATATTTATAGCACTTTGACTCTCAGCAAGGGTTCTGTCTGGTAAGAACAATATTGTTCTGTGGTTGATAGTGTCATGGAAATTTCAGAGGCAAATTTCAACTTTGTAAGATAAAAATATATAGATTCTTGCAACAGACCGTAACGATTTCAAAGGAAACTTTTTATTGCTGAACAACATATGCACTGAAAAAAAAAATGCATTATGCCCTTGCACACAATTCCAGAATGAAAAGGCAGTGCTGATCTATTTCATGGCACCAGTATTCACAGAGCAAAATGAATTGCCAAAGAAGTTTTCAACCGCCTCTTTTCAATTGCCACTGGCACTAAAAACAGAAACTCAGCTGCAAAAAGACCCTATGAAAGAGAGAACAAAACCTACAAAATGCAAGAGGAGTTTTCGCCAAGATCTATTCCCACTAGAAAATCCTTTTCTTCTTTTGCACACCCTTATTTTAAGACTTTTAGGCTCTCTGTGTGAACTGCTGTGTGCTTATAAAAAAAGCTTAAGAGGCTTAAGTTTAAAGGCAGCCTTAGGAACTGAAAATACCTGGCAGATACTCCGTCAGTGTAAATTTATCTAGTTCCATTGACTTCAGAGACTGCATTCAAATGATACCAGTTGAGAGCCAGGACCACAGAGCTCATCCCTGGCCTGACATTTTAGGTTTTTCTGTAGACGCATGAGATTTCAGGCATTCTCTTGTCTTGGGTAAGACAATAACTACCCCTATTTGTGATGTAGGGACAATTTTCCAGAGGCAAATGATAGTTATAATTCCTCTGCAAAGTGCCACATGGACAAGGTAGGGCCTGTCAGGGATTTTGCCTTCCTCACACACACCACCCCCTGTTCACTGGACACCACCATCCTTCTGCTCCTGAGTTTTTTCCAGTCTCATCTCCCCCATTACAACTCCAGGGACCTCAGATAACTCAACCCGACAGCAAGGCAGAGGAAGCAGAGGAACCACATTTCAGCACTGACCTGATGTTTTGCAAAACACCTTCCCTGCCACTGCAGCATGCCAGCCAGGAGAGCAATCCCCCCGGGCCTCTGGAAGAGCAGCCACCATAATACGTAAAGCCAGTAGGAATGAGCAGCTGGGAGCGAGAACGATCAGTGGCAAAAAGCCCAACAGACAGCAGCTCTGCAAGCCAAGCAGCAGTAACTGCTTCTCCTTGCAGGAGGAGTGCCCAGAGTTTGGCTCCCCAGGAGTGAAGGCTTTCAAATGCAACCTAAACCTTCCCTCCAACCCTGCAATAACCAAGAAAGCACCCTCTCAAGGATAATCAGAATCTTTGCAGAATAGAAGAGTTATTCTGCAAGAGGCAGAATTAATGACACATGAATCCAATGATTTAGAATGTGACCCCTTTCTCCCCAGGGGTCCCAGCTTGCTCCTGCATCACAGCCTGGCCATCCACCTGCCCCAGTGCCCTGTCCCCACCTCTCTCCCTCTTGTCCCAACCATTTCGGTGCAGTCTGGAGCCGTGCAAGTACTGACCAGCTGATGGGACAGTGCTGAGTGACCGGCTGGCAGGATGGATATGAGCTGACTTACTTAATTGTCTTTCCCTCAGGGAGGCATTAATCTGTGTCTCTCTCCTCTATACCTCTGCCAGTAACATTAATTTAGGTCCTCCTCTTCAAACATGAATGGTCACAAACCTTCTGGCTTTGCCACCTCTGTACAAACAAGCCAGGCAATGCTGGCATACCAAAGCTCCAAGCACAGATGCTACACATGGATCCCATGGCCCCACACTGGGGCCACCACTCTGCCCCTTCTCCAAAGATCTCTCCCTAGTCAGAGAGAGGAGTATGGTCTGGCAGAAACTCACCTCCACACTGCCTGCCCCTCATTCACCATCCCATCCATCTAGCTGGTCTTGACAAGAGGTTTATGACTTTGTGGCTGCTGGAGAGCGGATATCAGGTTCCCATTGCACCCCCTGGAGAGGCACCGATTTTCAAGGAGCAGCACTTACTGCAAGCAGCAGAGGTTCACTGCAGCTGGCACCTGGCAGCCTATGGGCAGGAGCAGGCAGAGAGAAATGGGCATCTTTGCTGACGTTCAAAATCCCATCACACACATCTGCCTCTGCAACTTTCCAGCCAAAAGCCCTTGCAATGTGCTGCAGGCTCCCAGCCAGGGATGTAGAACCAGCACACAGCCTGCCAGGGAATATAGAAAAAAGCTCTTTCAAGATTAAATGTCCTCACAAGGTGGAAACCAGCAGATGCCAAGAGCTATGACCTCTTATCCAGTTGTACTAATGTGGGAACCTGCCACCACTTCCCTCTCCAGACCTTCCAAAGGTGGCCTTGACGAGCTGGGAGGCCAGCTCCCATGGGAAGGGGGTGGTGCCAGCTCTCCCTGGGGTCCTTAGCACCTTTGCTGCCAGTTGTGTTTGTCACTACTGGTCCTCAGGCCTGTCTCTTGATAAAGCCAGTGTAGGACTTCTTGGCACAATCTGTCTGGATTTCCAACCAGCAGCCATGCCTACTCCCTTGGGCTTGGCCCCGTATCTCAGCCTTAAGCAACACCCCAGGGTTTCCTCAGCCATTCTGCTGGCAGCCAGCGCTGGCCACGCTCAGGCAGGAGGCACTCGGGGGTGACTCAGTCCAGCCACTCCACATGAGGTTTGAAAGGCTGAGCAGAAAGCATTTTAAACACTGGGAGGAAAAAAAGGTATGGGCTGGTGTAAGCCTTGACCAAAGGCCCATCTTGTAACCCTGGGGGTGGAGAGGTGATGCAGCAGGAAAAGCAGTAAAAGCGACTCTGAAAGTGACTTCTGCTGCCCTGGACAAGGGGAAGAGCAAGCCATAGTGTGTGGCTTCGCCAGCTCTCACACGAAGCATACTGAGCCTGCAAAGTGTCACGCCCTGGCTTTGGGAAGAGACAGTCCCTGCATGCCTCCTCCTCCTCCATACAGACCCGTGTTGGGTGGCTGCCTCCGGGGGGGATATTTCAGCTCAAACGGGTCAAGTGTTGCAAACTCACACTGGGAACAAAGTCAACAGCATACTTGCGTTCAAGATTAGGAGCACCCGATGCTGCCCAGCCAGCGTGTATGGGTGACTGTCCCACCATGGCCAAGCAGCCCTGAGGACAGCCTGGGACTGCCCCAGCCCACAGGCTACTCTTGGTTGCAGCCTGACGGATATTGCTGCCAAAACCAGCCAATCCCTCCTTCCTAAGTGCATCAGCACCTCCCTCGCCCCCAGCCCCAAAAGGGCAACCATGCAGCAGATCCCTATCATGACCTGCCACCCTCTCCAGGGCCTTGCAAGTGGGCCTGGTTCAGCCTTAATAGCATTAGCAGCCTCATCCCTTGCTTGGAGGACATGTCTGTCCAACATGCCTGCTGCACTCAAACACTGAGCAAGAAGCATCTGAACTTAGCTTCATTTCTTTCTCCTCGTGGCAGGCTGGGTGCTGATGCCCTCCTCTCCTTG